TGAGCGCATATCAACCAATGTCCAGAACAAACCTAAACGTTTGGTGCATATAACGTCTAGAGTATATAGAAGGGGGTGGGGGTTAATACAATCGTTGCTGATTTCCCATTTGCTTTAAATGTGCTGAAACTCACATGAAATGTAGATTATTATATACCTCATCGAATACAGGGTGCAAAAATTTAGCAGCCGACATTAAAAAGGTCTTATTTGAGCGCATATCAACCAATGTCCAGAACAAACTTAAACTTTTGGTGCATATAACGTCCAGAGTATATAGAGGGGATGGGGGTTAATACATTCGTTGCTGATTTCCCATTTGCCTTAATTTTGCTGAAAATCACATGAAATGTAGATTATTATATACCTCATCCAATACAGGGTGCAAAAATTCTAGCAGCCGACATTAAAAAGGTCTTATTTGAGCGCATATCAACCAATGTCCAGAACAAACTTAAACTTTTGGTGCATATAACGTCCAGAGTATATAGAGGGGATGGGGGTTAATACATTCGTTGCTGATTTCCCATTTGCTTTAAATGTGCTGAAACTCACATGAAATGTAGATTTTATATACCTCATCGAATACGGGGTGCAAAAATGCTAGAAACCGACATTAAAAAGGTTTTATTTGAGCGCATATCAACCAATGTCCAGAACAAACCTAAACGTTTGGTGCATATAACGTCTAGAGTATATAAAAGGGGATGGGGGTTAATACATTCGTTGCTGATTTCCCATTTGCTTAAACGTGCTGAAACTCACATGAAATGTAGATTATTATATACCTCATCGAATACGGGGTGCAAAAATACTAGCAGCCGACATTAAAAAGGTCTTATTTGAGCGCATATCAACCAATGTCCAGAACAAACCTAAACGTTTGGTGCATATAACGTCTAGAGTATATAGAAGGGGGTGGGGGTTAATACAATCGTTGCTGATTTCCCATTTGCTTTAAATGTGCTGAAACTCACATGAAATGTAGATTATTATATACCTCATCGAATACAGGGTGCAAAAATTTAGCAGCCGACATTAAAAAGGTCTTATTTGAGCGCATATCAACCAATGTCCAGAACAAACTTAAACTTTTGGTGCATATAACGTCCAGAGTATATAGAGGGGATGGGGGTTAATACATTCGTTGCTGATTTCCCATTTGCCTTAATTTTGCTGAAAATCACATGAAATGTAGATTATTATATACCTCATCCAATACAGGGTGCAAAAATTCTAGCAGCCGACATTAAAAAGGTCTTATTTGAGCGCATATCAACAAATGTCCAGAACAAACCTAAACGTTTGGTGCATATAACGTCTAGAGTATATAGAAGGGGGTGGGGGTTAATACAATCGTTGCTGATTTCCCATTTGCTTTAAATGTGCTGAAACTCACATGAAATGTAGATTATTATATACCTCATCGAATACAGGGTGCAAAATTTCTAGCAGCCGACATTAAAAAGGTCTTATTTAAGCGCATATCAACCAATGTCCAGAACAAACTTAAACTTTTGGTGCATATAACGTCCAGAGTATATAGAGGGGATGGGGGTTAATACATTCGTTGCTGATTTCCCATTTGCTTTAAATGTGCTGAAAATCACATGAAATGTAGATTATTATATACCTCATCGAATACGGGGTGCAAAAATGCTAGAAACCGACATTAAAAAGGTCTTATTTGAGCGCATATCAATCAATGTGGCAGAACAAACCTAAACGTATAGCGCATAACATGTAGAGTATATCGGTGAGGGGGTTTCGGGCTTTAATACAGTCGCCGCTATTTCCCATTTGCCTTAATTTTGCTGAAAATCACATGAAATGTAGATTATTATATACCTCATCCAATACAGGGTGCAAAAAGTCTAGCAGCTGACAATAAAAAGGTCTTATTTGAGCGCATATCAACCAATGTCCAGAACAAACCTAAACGTTTGGTGCATATAACGTCCAGAGTATATAGAAGGGGATGGGGGTTAATACATTCGTTGCTGATTTCCCATTTGCTTTAAATGTGCTGAAACTCACATGAAATGTAGATTTTTATATACCTCATCGAATACGGGGTGCAAAAATGCTAGAAACCGACATTAAAAAGGTCTTATTTGAGCGCATATCAATCAATGTGGCAGAACAAACCTAAACGTATAGCGCATAACATGTAGAGTATATCGGTGAGGGAGTTTCGGGCTTTAATACAGTCGCCGCTATTTCCCATTTGCCTTAATTTTGCTGAAAATCACATGAACTGTAGATCATTATATACCTCATCCAATACGGGGTGCAAAAATTCTAGCAGCTGACAATAAAAAGGTCTTATTTGAGCGCATATCAACCAATGTCCAGAACAAACCTAAACGTTTGGTGCATATAACGTCTAGAGTATATAGAAGGGGGTGGGGGTTAATACAATCGTTGCTGATTTCCCATTTGCATTAAATGTGCTGAAACTCACATGAAATGTAGATTATTATATACCTCATCGAATACAGGGTGCAAAAATTCTAGCAGCCGACATTAAAAAGGTCTTATTTAAGCGCATATCAACCAATGTCCAGAACAAACTTAAACTTTTGGTGCATATAACGTCCAGAGTATATAAAGGGGATGGGGGTTAATACATTCGTTGCTGATTTCCCATTTGCTTTAAACGTGCTGAAACTCACATGAAATGTAGATTATTATATACCTCTTCGAATACGGGGTGTAAAAATACTAGCAGCCGACATTAAAAAGGTCTTATTTGAGGGCATATCAACCAATGTCCAGAACAAACCTAAACGTTTGGTGCATATAACGTCTAAAGTATATAGAAGGGGGTGGGGGTTAATACAATCGTTGCTGATTTCCCATTTGCTTCAAATGTGCTGAAACTCACATGAAATGTAGATTATTATATACCTCATCGAATACAGGGTGCAAAAATTCTAGCAGCCGACATTAAAAAGGTCTTATTTGAGCGCATATCAATCAATGTGGCAGAACAAACCTAAACGTATAGCGCATAACATGTAGAGTATATCGGTGAGGGGGTTTCGGGCTTTAATACAGTCGCCGCTATTTCCCATTTGCCTTAATTTTGCTGAAAATCACATGAACTGTAGATCATTATATACTTCATCCAATACGGGGTGCAGAAATTCTAGCAGCTGACAATAAAAAGGTCTTATTTGAGCGCATATCAACCAATGTCCAGAACAAACCTAAACGTTTGGTGCATATAACGTCTAGAGTATATAGAAGGGGGTGGGGGTTAATACAATCGTTGCTGATTTCCCATTTGCTTTAAATGTGCTGAAACTCACATGAAATGTAGATTATTATATACCTCATCGAATACAGGGTGCAAAAATTCTAGCAGCTGACAATAAAAAGGTCTTATTTGAGCGCATATCAACCAATGTCCAGAACAAACCTAAACGTTTGGTGCATATCGTCCCTGTTTTCACGAAGTGACGGTAGAGCGCGCAACTAAAAGAAAGTTAGTTTTGAATAAATCGCTTTCAAAGTTTCAAACCATAATCTCAACCTCTTTAATGTATCAAAGGCAAATAAATTTTATATCCTGGGATAGAAAATATTTTAATGTTTAATTCTATGTTTAAATATTTCCATAATTTCTTATATTTTTGGGGGAAATGAGCTGTAAACATTACCGTCACTTCGTGAAAACACGAAATTCAAGGACGCGCTGTGATTTTGTTTTCACGAAGTGACGGTACGTAGCCGCGCGCGTAAAACATATGGGATTTTTCTCTCGTGGTTGGAATTCCCGAAATGGACACTAAATACGGCAAAACGTTTTGTTTAATTGATGTACAGATAAAATAATTCAAACTGTGAGAAAGAGTACATTTTCCTCTTTCTGTAGCTGCTTTTTCATTTCTCTGTGTGAACTGTTAACACAACCGTCATTTCGTGAAAACACAAATTGCATAGAACGCTTTGATTTTGTTTTCACGAAGTGACGGTACGTAGCCGCGCGCGTAAAACGTATGGGACTTTTCCCTTGTGGATGGAATTCTCGAAATGGACACTAAAAACGGCATTATGTTTTATTTAATTGATGTACAGATAAAATAATGCGAACTGAGAGATAGAGTACATTTTCCTCGTTTGGTAGCTATTTTTTTTTTATTGATAAGAATAAACTGAATGTCTCTGAATGAACTTTTAACTTAACCGTCATTTCGTGAAAACACAAATCACGCAGAACGCTTGTATTTTGTTTTCACGAAGTGACGGCTCGTAGCCGAGCGCGTATAAAACATATGGGATTTTTATTGTGTGAAGCAATTTCATGAGATAGACACTGAAATACGGCAAAATTACTTGTTTAATATATGTATGGATAAAATAAGAGCACCTTTTCTTCTTTGTATAATTATGATGTTAGATGTATGATGTCAGTTTTTGCATGTTCACGAAGCTACGGCTCACAATAAATTAACTATCAATAGCACAGATGGATATTGGCACTAAGTGCTTTTAAAATGATTAATAAGCTATATTCTCTTTAATCTTAGGCTAAAAATGGATATGTATTTAATATTATTTGAGGTTTAATTATCAGGTACATTGTATGTATAGGGACTAAAGATTGCACTAAAGTTACTATATACTTTCCACTTAAGAACACGTTCAAGTAGTCTCCCCCCCCCCTCTCTCTCTCTCTCTCTCTCTCTCTTTCCCTCTCTCTTTCCCTCTCTCTCTCCCTCTCTCTCTTTACCCCCTCCATCTCCCCTTAATATCACACAAATTCTGCAATTTCTTGTTGAAATTCATGCGAGTGATATCAGGGCTTTTGCTACTCTATTACTATGAGGAATTTCTAAAAATTTTGAGAGGGGCCTAGCTAAATATATTTTTTCAGATAGGAAATAAAGCAAATATGTTAAGAAATATTTTTGAATGAAGGAAAAAGATTAAGTATTGATAATTGACCATAATCTGTAGTTAACTACTCAACTCTGCAATATAAACACAGAAAATGAATTTTGACTGAGCAGTTTTAATTCAAACATTTGGAACCAGAACAGCAAGTGGAAAATGGAGCATAAATTCAAAAATATTAAATAATTCATACCAAACATATCATCATCAATTATCATCAATACTGTATTGCATTTTAAAATGTACAATTAGGGTTTTGTGGAAAAGACTCATCAGTTATATACATCCACGGAATACGAAGGTTATTTCATTCATTATACAGTACTTGTAAATATGCTAAAATGTCTTTATCTAATTCTTTATATACGACTTGGTTATCATGTTTATTCAGCAATCGTAGCGAGTAAATGCCACATGTGACATACAAAATGCTCGACAAACATGTACTACATGTATCATGAAGTTTTTCAATGGGAAAATGACTAATATAATCATCATCGTTACTTTTTTGTTCATCACTGTTTTTCATAAATATCTTGTGAGTAGAGTATCAGAACGCTACAAAGTTTACCAATGCTTAAAGGTTGTCTTCACCCAGGTAAACACGTAATCTCTGACTTAACTATTATCAGCTAAACAATGCATGATAAACATGGAAATATCAATTTGACTAAACAATTTCATTTCTCATCAAACAGATACAATTCAAAACAGCAACATTATATTGTATGATCATTATAGGATAGTTTGAAGTACCAAATACAATTATGATGAGAATGACTATAGAAGTAATAAATTAAAACATTAAATGTGAACTAGTAACATTGAGTTTTGAGAGAAAAACCAATTGTTGAAATGTAACTTATATTCATGTTCTAATGAAGGCATCAACCCCTGTGAATACAAACATTTAAAGAATGGACAAACAAATTCTTCAATACAAAGATACAATATGAGGATTCATGGAACTGGAATCGAAAACTCTAATATGCATTACTGATCGAGGTAGGTATACCTGATAAATAGCAGTTCTGAGCTATACATTTGAATATTAAAGATTTATGTTTGCAGGAGTTCATTATAATACTGTAACAGAAAACTGACACCTGTACGACCATTCAGTTAATTGTTTCAGAACTCATGGAAAATATTACCAGTTTGCTTTAAATCAATTCATTGATTTTATAATCAATCCATTTCATTGTAATTACTAGTACACACAATTACAATTATGAGTAGAGTTTGCTTTATTTATGATATTCAAAATGTTTAAAATCAAACAGTATAAAAGAGAGATTGAGGTATTGAAACATTGAAGCATTGACAAAACGATCAATGTAATTGATTCTAGTTTCTCAAGCATGCCCTTCAACACAAGTCCTTCAAGTTTCTTCACACATAATGTCATCCAAGCGATAGTGGTTGAAGCAGAGAAGATCCTTGATCTAGACTGCTTGGAAGTAAAAGGAAATAAGAGAAAGAAAAATCATAATAAAAAAAGTCCAAGTCAAAATCAATAAAAAATCATTATCAGAATTTCAATTATGAAAGGGAAACTTTACAGTGCATTATGATTGGGCAAAATTATTATGTGTAGTTTTGGTACCCAATTTTAGAGAGTCTCTTAATAAATTAAATACTTTATGTGGTATCACCTTAGTATTGGAATTTTTATAAGGATTTAAAAAAATTAATGCTGACCTCGATAGGACCACTCATTCCCTTAACTAAGAGACCTAAGCATTAAAAACAATTAAGAATATCTTAAATTTTAACTATTGGGAAACAATCAAGAAGGAAAAAAGATACCTTTTGACTCGCTCACAAGCATAGACAATGGGTCATCATCAGAATCGCAATCGGAGCCGTCAGGAGACTTTAAGGGTCACCATGCCAAGTCACACATGCAGCTCTGACTGTGTTCGGTGAATTGCTTCAACAGTGTTCGGTGAATTGCTTCAACGGTTCCATACCGCTCCCACTCTTAGGTCACTATGCCGAGTCACATCTGCAGCTCTGTGTTCAGTGAATTATCAAGGACCCATCTTACCAGCATGTCGGTCCCTGTATCCAATCTAATTTTGTAGAATGAAAGAAATAATTACAAGTTATTTTCTTTCATTTTTTTGCAAGCAGAGGTAAGGAAATGAATCCAATATTATCTTTTGTACATCAAATTAATTAATAGGCATAACTAACCCCAAACAGAAGTTTTCAATTGCCCCTATTACCCCAAAATAGAATTTTCCAATTGCCCCTACCAAACAACAACTACCCCTATGCACATAAGCAGTGAGTGTGCTTTAGTACTTTGCTGCTAAAGTGTGATTTTCTTGAACAGATCATGAAACTATTCTCACCTGGATTTGTGTCTGGCCTGTGGCATTCTTGAAAAGTAGATGTACTTTCCCAGTGCATCCTTCATATAAGTGCAAATTGTATCTACTGCATCTGAAACTAAGTGAAAGCAAAAACATCATCATAATTTCATTACCACTGAAGTGTAGGTAGTGAGACATGTACATCATCTGGTATGGTGCTTGCTTGGAAAATTCTTTAAAACACGAAGTGGAGTTGGGCAACATTTGCTGGTATCAAGAACAATTGTTTAAAATAATTTTTGTATAGGGTGAGAGACCAAGGGTACTAAAGTAAAGTGCTGCCTTTGAATATAACAGACACAGAGTACAGATAACGAGAGAAACTAAGCTAAACATGTGGACATTGTTCCCCAAAAGGTAGACTACTCATGATTACTTCAGTCTCAAAAAAAAAGTATTCCTTTTTCGGATGGTGCCATTTATTCATTTTCAGGGCAGGACCGTATCTAATTTTCAATTTTTAATTAAATGTTCATCCATGTCCTTCTTTGCTTGAAAGGCAAATCATTGAATTCCCTAACACTAACAGTTAACCAGAAGGGGCTACATCCCAGGTCATCTCAGCTCAGCATGATGATAATTTTCATAACTCCCTTTGCCCTTGGCCATGTTGATGTTGGCCTTGGGCTTGGAGCCCTGAAATTTCTTAAACCCCAGGCACGCGCACCTTACAAGAAAGGTCTCAGTCTTGTCGAGATCCTGATCTACGCACCTCTAGATTCTAGATTGATGAGTAGTGGCTGACATAAACTGATAATTATAAAATGATGATCTAGAGTAATTAGAGTTCTAGGCTCTAAAACAAATTTATAATTAGCTAAATAGTAAATTACTGAAAAAATAAAAGTAAAACTCTAGTCTCTAGAGTCTAGATGATCTACTCTCTAACTTTCTGTAAAACTTTGTTCAAATGTATAACTTAAGCAGATATAAAAAGAACCTTATAGCATTAATATTTGGTGTGGAGCAAAATAAGAAAGACTCTCCACTTAATTTATTTAGTCTAGATGCATATTTGTTCAGTCTAAGTTGATCTTTTTAGTTTTGGATCACATGATACTTCACTCCTTTATTCACTTACATGAAAATAAGTATATGGGGCGAAATGTGGAACGGCGGTGTATTTTTCACACATTTCTGTGTTCATGGACATATTTATGGCTTACAAAGAATCAGAACGAATCAAAAGAGCGTACCACATTAATTTACCCTAAAACAACGTTTAAAAACTCACCTTTTCATGGTCTGTGACTGTTCCAAACTGCGAAATTTTCACTACCGTCACTTCGTGAAAATATTAAAAGCAGGAAAAGAGCAAACGATGTTTTCACGAATTGACGGCTGTTAAGCGCGTACTTGGCCGTCACTTCGTGAAAACAGAAAATCCTTTTGCTATGCATTTTCTTGTTTACGTCATCGTCATAGCGACATAATTAGACATTATTATGATCTGAAATTTTGTGAGGTTCAAGATGTTAGTGAATGATGTCCAAAAATGCAAAAAAATCAAAAGTGAAAATGTATGCGATTTTCCTCACTACCGTCACTTCGTGAAAACAGGGACGATATAACGTCTAGAGTATATAGAAGGGGGTGGGGGTTAATACAATCGTTGCTGATTTCCCATTTGCCTTAATTTTGCTGAAAATCACATGAAATGTAGATTATTATATACCTCATCCAATACAGGGTGCAAAAAGTCTAGCAGCTGACAATAAAAAGGTCTTATTTGAGCGCATATCAACCAATGTCCAGAACAAACCTAAACGTTTGGTGCATATAACGTCCAGAGTATATAGAAGGGGATGGGGGTTAATACATTCGTTGCTGATTTCCCATTTGCTTTAAATGTGCTGAAACTCACATGAAATGTAGATTATTATATACCTCATCGAATACGGGGTGCAAAAATGCTAGAAACCGACATTAAAAAGGTTTTATTTAAGCGCATATCAACCAATGTCCAGAACAAACCTAAACGTTTGGTGCATATAACGTCTAGAGTATATAGAGGGGATGGGGGTTAATACATTCGTTGCTGATTTCCCATTTGCTTTAATTTTGCTGAACATCACATGAAATGTAGATTATTATATACCTCATCCAATACAGGGTGCAAAAATTCTCGCAGCCGACATTAAAAAGGTCTTATTTGAGCGCATATCAAGAAATGTCCAGAACAAACCTAAACGTTTGGTGCATATAACGTCTAGAGTATATAGAAGGGGGTGGGGGTTAATACAATCGTTGCTGATTTCCCATTTGCTTTAAATGTGCTGAAACTCACATGAAATGTAGATTATTATATACCTCATCGAATACAGGGTGCAAAATTTCTAGCAGCCGACATTAAAAAGGTCTTTTTTGAGTGCATATCAACCAATGTCCAGAACAAACTTAAGCTTTTGATGCATATAACGTCCAGAGTATATAGAGGGGATGGGGGTTAATACATTCGTTGCTGATTTCCCATTTGCTTTAAATGTGCTGAAACTCACATGAAATGTAGATTTTTATATACCTCATCGAATACGGGGTGCAAAAATGCTAGAAACCGACATTAAAAAGGTTTTATTTAAGCGCATATCAACCAATGTCCAGAACAAACCTAAACGTTTGGTGCATATAACGTCTATAGTATATAAAAGGGGATGGGGGTTAATAAATTCGTTGCTGATTTCCCATTTGCTTGAAACGTGCTGAAACTCACATGAAATGTAGATTATTATATACCTCATCGAATACGGGGTGTAAAAATACTAGCAGCCGACATTAAAAAGGTCTTATTTAAGCGCATATCAACCAATGTCCAGAACAAACTTAAACTTTTGGTGCATATAACGTCCAGAGTATATAGAGGGGATGGGGGTTAATACATTCGTTGCTGATTTCCCATTTGCCTTAATTTTGCTGAAAATCACATGAAATGTAGATTATTATATACCTCATCCAATACAGGGTGCAAAAATTCTAGCAGCCGACATTAAAAAGGTCTTATTTGAGCGCATATCAAGAAATGTCCAGAACAAACCTAAACGTTTGGTGCATATAACGTCTGAGTATATAGAAGGGGGTGGGGGTTAATACAATCGTTGCTGATTTCCCATTTGCTTTAAATGTGCTGAAACTCACATGAAATGTAGATTATTATATACCTCATCGAATACAGGGTGCAAAATTTCTAGCAGCCGACTTTAAAAAGGTCTTATTTAAGCGCATATCAACCAATGTCCAGAACAAACTTAAGCTTTTGGTGCATATAACGTCCAGAGTATATAGAGGGGATGGGGGTTAATACATTCGTTGCTGATTTCCCATTTGCTTTAAATGTGCTGAAAATCACATGAAATGTAGATTATTATATACCTCATCGAATACGGGGTGCAAAAATGCAAGAAACCGACATTAAAAAGGTCTTATTTGAGCGCATATCAATCAATGTGGCAGAACAAACCTAAACGTATAGCGCATAACATGTAGAGTATATCGGTGAGGGGGTTTCGGGCTTTAATACAGTCGCCGCTATTTCCCATTTGCCTTAATTTTGCTGAAAATCACATGAAATGTAGATTATTATATACCTCATCCAATACAGGGTGCAAAAAGTCTAGCAGCTGACAATAAAAAGGTCTTATTTGAGCGCATATCAACCAATGTCCAGAACAAACCTAAACGTTTGGTGCATATAACGTCCAGAGTATATAGAAGGGGATGGGGGTTAATACATTCGTTGCTGATTTCCCATTTGCTTTAAATGTGCTGAAACTCACATGAAATGTAGATTTTTATATACCTCATCGAATACGGGGTGCAAAAATGCTAGAAACCGACATTAAAAAGGTCTTATTTGAGCGCATATCAATCAATGTGGCAGAACAAACCTAAACGTATAGCGCATAACATGTAGAGTATATCGGTGAGGGGGTTTCGGGCTTTAATACAGTCGCCGCTATTTCCCATTTGCCTTAATTTTGCTGAAAATCACATGAACTGTAGATCATTATATACCTCATCCAATACGGGGTGCAAAAATTCTAGCAGCTGACAATAAAAAGGTCTTATTTGAGCGCATATCAACCAATGTCCAGAACAAACCTAAACGTTTGGTGCATATAACGTCTAGAGTATATAGAAGGGGGTGGGGGTTAATACAATCGTTGCTGATTTCCCATTTGCATTAAATGTGCTGAAACTCACATGAAATGTAGATTATTATATACCTCATCGAATACAGGGTGCAAAATTTCTAGCAGCCGACATTAAAAAGGTCTTATTTAAGCGCATATCAACCAATGTCCAGAACAAACTTAAACTTTTGGTGCATATAACGTCCAGAGTATATAAAGGGGATGGGGGTTAATACATTCGTTGCTTATTTCCCATTTGCTTTAAACGTGCTGAAACTCACATGAAATGTAGATTATTATATACCTCTTCGAATACGGGGTGTAAAAATACTAGCAGCCGACATTAAAAAGGTCTTATTTGAGGGCATATCAACCAATGTCCAGAACAAACCTAAACGTTTGGTGCATATAACGTCTAAAGTATATAGAAGGGGGTGGGGGTTAATACAATCGTTGCTGATTTCCCATTTGCTTCAAATGTGCTGAAACTCACATGAAATGTAGATTATTATATACCTCATCAAATACAGGGTGCAAAAATTCTAGCAGCCGACATTAAAAAGGTCTTATTTAAGCGCATATCAACCAATGTCCAGAACAAACTTAAACTTTTGGTGCATATAACGTCCAGAGTATATAGAGGGGATGGGGGTTAATACATTCGTTGCTGATTTCCCATTTGCTTTAAATGTGCTGAAACTCACATGAAATGTAGATTTTTATATACCTCATCGAATACGGGGTGCAAAAATGCTAGAAACCGACATTAAAAAGGTCTTATTTGAGCGCATATCAATCAATGTGGCAGAACAAACCTAAACGTATAGCGCATAACACGTAGAGTATATCGGTGAGGGGGTTTCGGGCTTTAATACAGTCGCCGCGATTTCCCATTTGCCTTAATTTTGCTGAAAATCACATGAACTGTAGATCATTATATACTTCATCCAATACGGGGTGCAGAAATTCTAGCAGCTGACAATAAAAAGGTCTTATTTGAGCGCATATCAACCAATGTCCAGAACAAACCTAAACGTTTGGTGCATATAACGTCTAGAGTATATAGAAGGGGGTGGGGGTTAATACAATCGTTGCTGATTTCCCATTTGCTTTAAATGTGCTGAAACTCACATGAAATGTAGATTATTATATACCTCATCGAATACAGGGTGCAAAAATTCTAGCAGCCGACATTAAAAAGGTCTTATTTAAGCGCATATCAACCAATGTCCAGAACAAACTTAAACTTTTGGTGCATATAACGTCCAGAGTATATAGAGGGGATGGGGGTTAATACATTCGTTGCTGATTTCCCATTAGCTTTAAATGTGCTGAAAATCACATGAAATGTAGATTATTATATACCTCATCGAATACGGGGTGCAAAAATGCTAGAAACCGACATTAAAAAGGTCTTATTTGAGCGCATATCAACCAATGTCCAGAACAAACCTAAACGTTTGGTGCATATAACGTCTAGAGTATATAGAAGGGGGTGGGGGTTAATACAATCGTTGCTGATTTCCCATTTGCCTTAATTTTGCTGAAAATCACATGAAATGTAGATTATTATATACCTCATCGAATACAGGGTGCAAAAATTCTAGCAGCTGACAATAAAAAGGTCTTATTTGAGCGCATATCAACCAATGTCCAGAACAAACTTAAACTTTTGGTGCATATAACGTCCAGAGTATATAGAGGGGATGGGGGTTAATACATTCGTTGCTGATTTCCCATTAGCTTTAAATGTGCTGAAAATCACATGAAATGTAGATTATTATATACCTCATCGAATACGGGGTGCAAAAATGCTAGAAACCGACATTAAAAAGGTCTTATTTGAGCGCATATCAACCAATGTCCAGAACAAACCTAAACGTTTGGTGCATATAACGTCTAGAGTATATAGAAGGGGGTGGGGGTTAATACAATCGTTGCTGATTTCCCATTTGCCTTAATTTTGCTGAAAATCACATGAAATGTAGATTATTATATACCTCATCCAATACAGGGTGCAAAAAGTCTAGCAGCTGACAATAAAAAGGTCTTATTTGAGCGCATATCAACCAATGTCCAGAACAAACCTAAACGTTTGGTGCATATAACGTCCAGAGTATATAGAAGGGGATGGGGGTTAATACATTCGTTGCTGATTTCCCATTTGCCTTAAATGTGCTGAAACTCACATGAAATGTAGATTTTTATATACCTCATCGAATACAGGGTGCAAAAATGCTAGAAACCGACATTAAAAAGGTTTTATTTAAGCGCATATCAACCAATGTCCAGAACAAACCTAAACGTTTGGTGCATATAACGTCTAGAGTATATAGAGGGGATGGGGGTTAATACATTCGTTGCTGATTTCCCATTTGCTTTAATTTTGCTGAACATCACATGAAATGTAGATTATTATATACCTCAT